ATATTTACTATTTAATATCATATATTTACATGAAATTATAAGTTTATTTGTAACTTCAGTAAATGAGTTATAGATATTTCTTTTTAAAATAAAATATTTTTGATTTTCATTTTATAGAATTGTTGTTATTTTATATAATGTGATAAAAGATCTAAATAATAGCATTATTGATAAATTATTTATGCTTATCTTATTATTTAATATTTTAAATCTAAATATATTTTTTGAATTACAATTACCTAAATAGTATAAAAAGCAATAATTTTTATTATTATTAATTAATTGATATTTTAAAAAAATTTTCTTACAAATAGTTCAAATTAAAGCTTAAGAATCTTCTAATTATTAATATAATTGAATACTCTTTTATTTCTTGTATTATCATTTTATTATTATTTTTAAACACTTTAAAATTAATTTTAATGAATTCTTTATTATCTATTCTACTATAAGCAATACCAGTATGAATCTTTCTACTGCTTATATTTTTAATTATTAACTTTATTCTTTACATTTGTTAAGATCTCTATAAGACAGTCAAAATCTTTATAAAAATAATAGAAGATATTATAGATAACATTTTTTTTGATAAAAATTTATTTTTTTTAAAGGATTTATATAGGCGTTTTTTTATTTAAAGGATTAAATAATTTCATTATTTCTATTACATATTTATTACAAAAATTTTGACTTTCTAAACTTATTTTATCTATAAGTTATTAGATTTTATTAATTCTCTATAGTTTAAATAGGACTAAAGCCATCATCTTGCTTATAAATTAAACAGGATCATTCTGATATGCAAATAATCATTATCACAAAGTTAAAATTTTAGGCTAAAACTTTACTAACAAATCAAATTAATACATTCTGATTTTTAATATAATTGTGAAAATTTACATAAGAAAAAATATTTTATTATATAAAGAACCTTTATATAAAAAAAAATGTAGGTGATTTTAGTAGTATAACAATAACCATATTTCTTATATAATAGTAAAAAGTCATCAAAGACTAATATATTTATTATATTTTTTATATTATTTAAGAAAAACTAACTAAACTAAAGAAAAGATAAGCAAAATCATCAAAAAATACAAATTTTAGTAAACTACTATAACACAGCAAATTTTTCAGATTTTTTCTTTTGCTAATTTAATTGAAAGGTAATACTCTTATATATCACCTTTATATATATATCTTATTCTAACCCTAATCTAATTCTAAATCATATGATATTAATCTATGTGACAAATAGGATTTCACATATGAAAAAATTTCTAAGTTCTAAGATTATATATGAAAAATGAAAAAGGGAAGATATAAATGAATGAAAAAAAAAGTAATAATATCACACCTGCGATAATATAACATAATTATTCAAATATATATAATATATAATTTTATATTATATGCTAAGGGAAGCCACAGATATTATGTAATATATTTTTATTAGACATAAACTTCCCCTCCTACCTATGTAAGATATCTAATTTTAACCAATCAAATAAAGCATATATATATTAGATGACTGAAAGCAAAAACTTATGAATTTATAATGCAAATCTATCAAGTAAATAGTATTAATACTTTTATAGAATAGTAAAACATTTAAAGAAAAAAATTTTATTTGCACATTATAAACTCTTTCTTTGTAAAACTTTTTTGAGAATCAAGGTTATAAAGAACCAAATTCTACTTATCAACACTTCTGTAATGCTTTTGCATATAGACAAATGGTTCTGACTAAGAATCCTAATTACAATCGTAAAAATCTATTTTGTGAAGCAAATAATGAGTGGAAAAAATACAAAAAAGACAAAAATATTGAAGAAATAATCAAAGATTTTTTCAGTACACTAATTTCTATACAAGAGTTTCTTGTTTTACATACAAAAGATTCTGCACAGACAATCGATGATTCACATACAGATATAGTGAATATAATAAATATAACAGTTAAATTACCAATCCAACAACCAGAAGAATTACCTTGTGCAAATGCTTCTTTTCAAAAAAGAATTTTTGATCAGATAAAAGAAGCTGAAAAAACATTAATAGAATTTACCTTTCTTTATAGTGTCGCTAATGATTTTCAACTTCGCAAAGATCTTTATAGGCGTATTGAAAGTTTAGAAAATGATCTTAAAGAAAAAAAAGACAGCTTAAAAAAGCTTAAACGAAATGCAGAATATCAGCAAAAGTCTAGATTAAAAAAAGCAAAACATTTAAAAGAAGAGAATGAAGTGGTTATATATGATCGTACTGGCTATCCTCCAGTTCTTTTTGAATATCCCAATCTTCTTGAACATATATACAATTTAATTGAATTAGGTACCACCAATACTAAAAGAAGAAAAGAAATAATTAAAGTTAGATCAGTTACTCATTTACAAGAGGAATTAGAAAATAATTACAATGAATACTTATCAACAAGTACACTTCGCAATCATATGCTACCAAATACTAGAAATTCTATTGCAGCAAAAGCCCATCATCATTCTGCAATAGTTGAAATAGCTAGTATTTCATGAAGTGAAAAGAAAGAACATGTTGATTCACATTATTGTTTAGTCTCAATAAAGGTATCAAAATCATTTGCAAGTATATTTTCTGATTTAACAGTTATGATATCTCAGGATGATAAAGCAAAGGTTAACGTTAGTATACCTACTGTAAAACGTACATTCTAAACAATACAATCAATTGCTGAGCCTGTAGAAGTAGAAGATCATGATTTTCCAATTGGTACATCTCAAAAACTAATTCTAAGTGTTTATTTAATGATCAATTCAGCTGATTTAAATGATACAATGAGAGCGGGACAGCTTGCAATTTACGTACGACCTTAGTGGTATATTGGTATGAATTCTTTAATGCATATGCAAGATTTGATTAATCTTACATCAATGAAAGAATATAAAGAAGTTTTCAAAATTAATGATATGATCAAACTGATTTGGGTAATACTGGTAGATGAAGGATCAGATAAGAACTCCCGATATCTTAAAAACATATATCAGTATTGTTGCTTATTCAAAAAACTAGATCTTGACTACTTAACTATACGTATTCACGTTTCAGATCAATCTGCTTTTAATTCTGTTAAAAGAGCTATGGTGACTTTATTCAAAAAGCTAGCAGGAATTTCTTTTCCTATTGATAAATTTGGTAAACATTTTAATACTCAAGGAAAAGTTGTTGATCAAGAGCTTGGGTTACAAAATTTCCGATATGCCAGTGAAGCTTTATGTATAATTTGGCGATGTGATAAAATCTTTGGTAAACCTGTCTATTCTAAATATATTAACGAGCATCCAGCTCCTTTATCAGATATAACTTTTGAAACAAATGTAGAAATTGATGATGGTAATAATGAAGTTGCTGAATCGATTCTATAGGCTTGGATTGAAAATCATACTCAAATATGCAAATATTCTTTAGATATACGAAAATGTGCAAATCCAGAATGCTATTTACAAAAACGAGTTCCTGAAGTTGCCTCTTTTTTTGAACAAACAAATGGGTTTCTTCCACCAGTAATTCAAGACAAAGATAACCATTTTTTAAATCCAATACATACTGCACAGTACCTAGATTCAAAGTCAATAAAGTATGATGAATATTGTTCTTCAATTAGTGCTGAACAATATGCGCGACTTGAATGCAGTACATGTAAAAAATACTTCCCTACTTGTGTTTTTCTTATGAAACATAAGCGTTTTGCTCATTCCAAGAAATAATAACTCATATTGCTCTATATAAAATAAATGTAAAGTTAAAACTTTAAATAAAATAAAATGTTAAATGAAATAATGAAAATAAAAATACATCTTTTGTCAGCATTTTTTTTACAAAAATATGAATTTATCATCCAATAAAAAATGATTATATTTAATGTATTATATATTCCTATTTTTGGAAATTTGTGCTACATAAGATATCGTCGGTTTCCCCTCCCACCTATATGATATTACGTAATATCTGTGGCTCCCCTAAATATTTTTTATTTATCATAGAAAAATCAAAAAAATTTACACATTAATTATTTATCTAAAGATATATTTTTAAAATTTGTGATTATTATTTAATTTATTATTTAAAATAATATCACCAAATTATTACTTATAATTTCGCAAGATTATTTTTAAAAAAAAATTCTGTTGTTAGATTTTTTTTTTTCACTTATAAATTTGAATAATTATCAAATTTGACAATGGTATCTACTTTGTTTCTTACAATTTAAATTTGACAAATAAAATAATCTTTTTTTTTTTTTAAAAAAAAAAAAATACCAATTTATATCAATTGAAATAAATTTCTAAGTAAAAAAAAAAAAAATCCATCATATTAAACACTTCAAATAAAAATAAAAGACGATATATATAAAAAGAGTGATAAACATTATGATCACAAATGTTAACCTCTGTTAAAATAAATGAAATAATAAAACATTGAAAATTATCACAGAAATCAAGATGAAATATTTTTCTACCTTTAACAAACTACAAAATTCTAATAAAAGGAAGGATACATCAACCATAATTATTTGGTCGCTTCCCATTCAACTAATAAAATAAAATATTGAAATAAATAAAAATACATTTCAAATAAATGATCGCCAATTATCATAAAATTTTTAATATCCAAATATCTATATCTACAAAATGTTATGAACGCAATAGTCATGATAAATTTAGAATCTGAAAATTCAGAAAAATATATCGTCAAGGGAAAAACCAAATAATTAAATCAAAAAAAAAAGGAAAATAATCTTTGAGCGCTAAAGAAAAATTTCTTAAATATATAAAAAAAATAATAATCCATAATCCAAGCAGACCACAAATAAATCATATAATTTATATTCTTATATAACTTCCTCTAAATTTCTCTTGAATTAAACGAAATTACGGTATTTTTTTTTTCCAATCAGACTCATTAATATATATTATTATTTCAGAAAGGTAATAATGGAAGCTTAACATCCATTAAACAACGTTTTATCGGCGCCAAAGTTGATTGATCTTGCGTCTTAGTTCAGAAATGTTTTGTTCCTTAGCTTCCAATAGTGTATCTAATTCATCAAGATACTTTTCAAAAGCGTCAACAGTAAGATCATGAGCCGCACCTATATCATTATTCGAGTTCATGCCTAAAGTAAAGTTGGCCAATAATTTTGTCTCTTGTTTACCAGCTTCACTTACTTCTCTAAGTTCATGACGATGACGTTTAAGGAAGTCTTCCATATCCGCGTGAGTAATACCACCTTGTGATGATGCATTTTCAGATGCTGTTGGTAATTGAATAGAATTTGGAGAATTATTATAATCCGGTGAACTTTGTACATATGAGGAAGGAGAATTAAGATAAGAGGTAATAGTTGAGGTTGTTCTATGAGAGTTCGGCGTATCATTAACATTTAGTTTTGACAAAATATTTGTTGTCTTGTCAAAAGAATTCGCGGATGCACTACGATGATCATGAATAAAATCTTCATCAACGATGCCATCCGAGGGCATTTCTTCACCAAAAAGATCGTTATCTTCATCACTTGGAAATTCCTCTTCTAAGAAGTCAGATTCTTCTTCATCGTCAAATGCAGGATCCTCTTCTTCATAATCATAACCCTCATATCCTTCCTCATAACCCTCATAACCCTCATATCCTTCTTCCGCTTCTAATTTTGCTTGTGCCTGACTATAATATTCTTGTCTCTGTTCATCAGTTAATCCATGTAGTTCATTAGCTGCCAACTCGAGGCCTGCAGCAACACGTTCAGCACGATCTCGTTCTGATTTGAGTTCTTTCACTCTGATTATCCAATGAGCCAAAACATGAAAGAATTAATATAATTATACATGGTTTTTATAACCGAACAATTAACATACCTATCAGCGTATCTTAATGTGTTTAAAGTGTGCTCGCTATTAGAAATATTTGGTGATACTGTTGCAATCATACAGGTTCTTGAATTTCCAACAAAGGAATCTTTTAATACCTATTTAAAAAAAAAAAAATAGAATAAAAAATTTAAAAGATTTAAATACAAGTTTACATTTAAGTAGATTAAACAATCAATAATTTTGTGTTAATAATACAACATACTTGTGTTAATTTACTCTGACGGAAGGGGGTATGTCTTTTGACTTGATCCAGAGCTCGAATACATTCCTTTAAAGCCAACAAACTTTTGTTGATTTCGGCACCTTCCATTCTACAATAAAATTAATCGTCAAGGGAATCCTTTCAAGAAATGATTAAAATAATGCGGAAAAAATGCGGACAGAAACCCAACATATCGCATGCCTTGTTTGCTTATCAGCGTCTCCTCTATCTGCACCTCGTTCACTTCCAGCTAAGTCGATGAAACTGAGTTTACCTAATCAAGGAATCAATCATATTCACCAATTACTATTTAACTACTAAGATCACATTATAAAGTCATAAAATTAAATACCATGAAACTTCTTTCTGTTCTTTTTATGTTTCAATACTATTTGTAGGATTGCATGTGATCGAGATGAATCTTCATTTGCTCCAGTGCTACCTAAAAATATTTTAAACAAAGAGATGTCAAATTCCATAATTTATAAAATAATTAACATTAATAAAACATTTAACGAACCAGTGCTTCTAACAGTATTTCCATAATCAAAGACTTGCATTAAACTATCAACATTATCAATTGCATATTCTTGTAATCCTGAAATTATAACATTTTTCTTTCCATCTTCTCGCGCGAATAATTTCTTTCGCTGATTCAACAGATCGTATAGATGTCCTTGATAAATCTCATAAAATCCTATGTATGCTGATAAATGATTAAATTCTGGCCGCTGTAATAATGTAAAAATATCTCGGGACGCTAAGACATAAAGACCTAAAAAGAAAAGACTCAGATTATTAAATGTTTAAGGATCTCCTAGTTTTGTTTTTAGTACGGCACTTACCATGTTTCTCGTCAAGCATAGTGAAAGTTTTACCACTCCCTAGTAACCAAATTAAGATAAAAATAATTATTAATTTATCGTAATGTTAATCAAATCAACAATATTATGCATAATACCTGTTTGTCCGCTAAATCAAGAATTAAACAGAAAAAGAAAAAATTCACAAAAACTCTGGGTGAAGGAATTAAATATTTAATATGGATTTATAAAAAGAGTTGAAGCTGAAAATCAATTATTTCCAATTCCGTAATAAAAATTCAAAGGATACTATGCAAAACACGTTGCTTTTCCTCCATGAAAAATATATTCGACTAATGGCAAAGCCGTTCGTTTATATACCTAAACACATTGTAAAATAAATCAAAAATCCCATATAGAATGTTAAATTGTGAGAGATTCTTAATTTTACCTCTTCATTGTTAGCATCAGCATCAAAAACATCATCGAATATGAATGTGTGTTGTTCAACATATTTGGTCAAATCTACTTTAGTTCTAATTAAATTAATAAAATTTTTTTAATTTCCTCCCATATATATTAGTCAAAATATTTAATATTATTATAAAAAGTCTCACTTCGGTTCATTGATGTGAACAGTTCTCTGACCATTGATAATGGCAATGTCTTTTTCATTTCTGGCAAGCTCTTTCTTACTAAGTGGTCGTTTGCGAACACATACTCTGATTTTATCATTTAAATTGCTAGGTACATTGTGTCTTGCTGGTAAAGAGTAAGAGTTACCACGTGATGAGTGTCTTGATGGAACTCCATACGCGTTTAAATTACGCCTGTTTGGAGATGGATTTATCTGAAGTTCCTCTTCTTCCTCTTCTTGTGCTGTCGCTGCTTCAAATTGTTGTTGCTGCATTATCGCAGGTTGCAAATTTGGTTTACCGCCACCACCGCCACCGCCAATAAATGGTGATGGTATTCGTGAACGGGTTGACAGCGTAGGAAGTGTAGAAGCACGACCTCGACCTTGAGCAGGTGAAACTCGTCGTCCGAACGTTGGAAGAGAAGTGTCCATATTTACTGTTTATAAGATCGAAGGAATTAAACTTCAAAAGGGTTTTTAATTTGAAAATGTAAAAACGTATTCTAAAAAATGCTTCGGTACTCTTTTGGCTCTATGTAAACAAATTGTAACTTGATAGTTCAAAATTGATCGCCCAATCAAATGTTAATGTATAAAAATTTCACTTATGATAATATAGATAATAGATAATAAAAATTGATACTTTATATTAAATAAATTTATATTAATTTATTATAAAAACCCAGGTAAGCAGAGTTCTCAGGTACGGCTTACGCAATATCGAAATAATAAAAAAAAAAATTATTAAATTTTTTAGATGTAAAATTTTTTTTATAATTATATATAAATATCAATATTTAATTTAATTGCATGAAGTTTAAAAATTAAGAAAAAAAATAATAGTATAACGATAAGATTTAAAAATATTATGAATTTTGCCAATTTTGTAAGTTTTATATAATTTTATTTTATTTTATTAAGTTTTAATAAATTTTTTATTAAGATTTTTAATCTAATAATTTGTTAAATTTATGAGTTTTTTTTTATCCTTTAAGAATATTTAAAATAATAATAAAATTAATTTTTTTAAAAAATGGATTTATTATATATTTATTTAATCATAAAAAAAAAAAACTTATTCTTTATTTATTCATAAAAATAAAATATCTTATTATATAAAAAATATTAATTATAAAATTATTATTACAAATTAACATTTTTAACAAAAAGCTATTTTACATTTAATGAAAAAAATTATTCTTTTAAATTAATAATATATTAGTATATTTAAATATAAATAAATATTTTTTATTCAAAATTATATTAATATGTAAAAAAAAATTATTATTATTAAAATCATTTTTATATGATAATAAGTAAAATAATATTATAAAAATTTAATAATTTATAATATTAAAATATAACTAAAAATTATTCTATTTTTTTAATGATATTATAAGTAAATTTATTTATAATTTTATTTAATAAAAATATTTTAAAATAAAATTAATAAATTTATGATTTTTTTTAAATAAAATTAAAAAAAATAGTAATTAATGATTTTTAAAAATAAATATACAGTCAACTCTTGTTATAATGAACTCTATGTCCTAGACCTCAACTTCGCTATAAGGCTATAGTGAAGATTTTAAGAGATTTGATTGGCCAATTTGCTATAACAAAAGTATTTTTATTATATTTGTTTAAAAAATTTGTTATATCAAGAGTTCGTTATATCAAGAGTTGACTGTATAATAAAAAAAAAGTTAAAATTTTAAACTTATATATATTATTATCTAATTATAAAAATACTATTTTTAATAAGCTTTAATAAGATAAATTAACAAATTAAATTTATTATTTATAATTATTAAATAATAAATTATTTAAAAAATTTAAAATTTAAAAATTAATATATATTAATAATATAATTATAAATAATTAAAATATTTTTATTTTAAATAATTATATACTTACTATTTAAAAAATTTAAATTATAAATAATAAATTTAAAATAACTTCTGAAAACTAATTTTTGTTAGATATAATATTTTAATATAATATTATATAAACCTTTTTTAATAAAGTCAAATTATAAGAAATAAAATATTTAATAATTCATAATATAATTTTAATCTAATTATTTAATAAATTAAATAGTAATAATTATAAATATCTAACTGATTTTAACTTTAGTATAGATAAGTAAATTTAAAATTATTTTTATTAAAATATATAATCAATTAATTAAAATTAATATATTGTATAGTCATTATAAATATAACTGTATATTATTTTATATTAACTATTAAATTCATAATAAGCACAGATGAGAATAAAGTTACCTGTCTAAACCTATAAGTTTAAACAATTAGTAAAATTAAATATAATTTAAATGTTTTACTAAAATATTTCAAAAATATAAAATTATAAAATATTTTGTAGGTTTCGCAAATTTGCAAAAATTTTATATAGTATTTAATAGTGTTTCTAATTATAAGTTTTGCAAAAATTTATATAGTATTTAATAGAATTTCACTAATTATAAGTATACAGTATATATTATAAATAATATAATTATATTATACATAAAACTAGTTATAATTAAAAAACTTTATTATATTAAATTTTATTAGTTAAATATTATATTATATTTAATAAAGAAAATTTTGTAAATATATATTAAAATAACCTTTTTTATAACAAATTTAATTTATAACAGCCAATTAAAATTAGAAAAAATCAGATTAATTTTGATAGATTAGAATTTTAGAATTTCAAAATTTTTCAGTTTTCAAAATTTCTATATTTTAAACTATTTTATAAACTAAAATTTTATTTTTATTCTATATATTTAAGGTAATACTTTTCAAAATATACATTAATATAAATAATAAATAAATAAATACAAAAGAAAATATAAAAGAAAATGGGATACAGAAATTTACAATAATATTAATACATATAATACTGTATTTTTTCAAGTATTAAATTATTAAAATACACCTATTTAAAATAAGTAAAATATATATTAATAATTATTGCTATTTTTTTCTAAGAAATTAAATAATTTGGTTAAAAATTCAAAGTTTCAATTTATTATAACAAACTTTGAATGTGAATATCTCAACACCTACTAATCTGATTTCTTTCAGATTTAATAAGCAGATTTAATAGGTTCTGAACTATTAAATAAGACTAAGATTATTCAAATATAATTACTTAATCTAGAATATTTAAGATAAATTGAAAGCAATTATTTTGAGGTTTATTACAAAAAAATCTCAAGCAGGTGTAAATATCAGAACTGAAGCAAAAGAAACTATTTAAAAAGTAATAATACCAAATACTAATTTTGCTATCTAAAAACTTAAAGGAAGTAAGAAATAGTATATTAATATATAAGAAAATAGTGTTATTTATAAGTGTTTAAATTAATTATTTAAGTTATTAATTCTCATATCTTTGAAATGAAGCAATCATGTGATTTAAAAGTTCTTAAAAATACTAATTTAAAACAACTAGATTAAGATCTAAAAAAGCTTTAAAATAAGTTAAAATTCATTAAAATTGAATCACAAAATGCTAAAATAGCTTTAAGAGTTGATAAAAAAACAAAAAATTCAAAGTTCTAATTTGCTGTGATGAACTTTAAACGTGAATATCTCAACATCTACTAATATAATTCCTTTCAAATTTAATATACAAATTCAGTAGGTTCTGAACTTTTAAATAAGACTAAAATTATTCAATTTTAATCACTTTTTTTAAAGATGTAATAATGTTTTTATTTATTAAGTATAATCATAATCAATAAAAAATATATATAAAAATCCTCTAAAAGGATATAGAATTAGAAAAATAAAAAAAGTTTCATAATAAATAAAAAGTATAAAACTCAAATTTTATTAGACTAACCAGTTGTCCTGTTAAATTCTAGTAATAATCACTAGTAAAATTACTATTATCATCTAATTAAAAGAAAGAAATGTATGATAAATAATTATTATTATATTAAGAAGAATGACCAATAATGGCTATATATATAATAATTTTTAATTAAAAATGAATAATTATGCTATAAATAGTTAGATAAAAAAAGGGTATTAGTAAAACTATTTCTAAAAAAATAGTTAAAGGAAGCATAAACTCCCTTCTTTTTACTATATTATAAAATATTAAGAAAGTATTCTTTTAAAACTATTAGTTCACATCTTGATTTTTACATAATATTATAAGTTTATAGGGATCAGTCTTTAATACCTAAAAGAGATAAAAAGAAAAAGAAGAGCTAAGACTTTAAAAGGGAAATCAGATCAAGAAATATAAATAAAAAATTGTAATTTTAAATAAGAAAGTGAATTGATAATAATGTTTTCTATTAATAGTATAACTATGAAATATAACTATAAATAATTAAAAGTTTCATTTGATATATTGCATCTATAGCATTTTTAAGTTTTGTTATATAAAGAGGGTTGTATAGCTTTTAAGAATTCTAATGTAAATAACTGTTCTAATAAGAATTTTATTTTTCTACAATATATTTATGACTCTTTAAATTATATTATGATGGAAGAACTCAGTTTGGTAAATTGAAAAGTGAGATGGTAGTTAATTTTCAAGTTAATATATTTTTTGTTTTATTTTAATGAATAAAAATCAATAAAATGTTTAGTTTATAAGCAATTTTAATAAGAGAATAAAAGGCTGTATTAATAGATATATATTTAAAAAGAAAAATATATTGAAAATAAAGAATATAATCAAAAGTAATAGAAATGGAAGTGGAATATAGAAAAAATTTAGCTAATTGATCAACTTTGTTATTATATGGATCATTAGAATATGCAGTAACCTTAATTAGGGATAGTGTTATATTTTATTCTTTTAATATTTTAAAAATAATAGACCAAAAAATGTTAAAAGGGAGTTTGAGTATTAAAAAGGGATACATGAAAGCGTTTTATCTTTAGATTTTATTATAGGAGTAAATAAGTGATAAGCTATCTATATATACGTTTAAATCTAAATTATGAGTATAAATAAAAAGAACTAAAAGCAATACAAAAATCTCTGCATAAGTGAAGTTTGACTAGTAATTAGATATTGTAATAGAAAATTCTATATTTATATTATCATGAATTAAAATAAAGGCAGAATTAAAGTATAAAATGGGATCAGTATAATTAGGTAAAAATCTATAGGAACTATCAATATAAAATACTAAAAAACTCTTATATTTTAATTTGTCTTTAAAGGTATTGAATATCACACAGGTAATTGGTGAAGTAATAAAGTTATCTATAGTAATATAGGTAATATCAACGAAATAATTAACTAATCATAATAAAGTCACATAGATAATATAGTATAATGATCTTCTAATTTAGAATTTTGAAAATACTGAAGATCTACGCAATTCTGCAGATCTTTCAAATATTGATAATAATTTTAATTTTACAAATTAAATAAAGTCTAAAAATATTTAG